CTTGCAAGCACGTGGTTGTGAGTTCAATCCTCAGTACCAATTTAAAAAAAAAAAAAAAATGGTGAGTGGAAAGTGACAATTAAGCTATATCTGTTACCTCTGTCCTCACAACCTAACCCTGGCCAAAATGAGTGAAAAACATCACAAGAGAGCTTTGGAAAAGGGGAAGACTCAGTGATGAGAAAGCAGAGAACTTCCAGGACTACCAGCAAAAATAAAGCTGCATTTAAAAGAAAATACCAAGAGTCCTGCTTAAACAAGTTAATTGCAGCAGGTGATTCATACTTCATGCTGTGCAGCAAAGCCATGAAACTGTCAAAACTGCTTCTACATGGAGACCAAACACTCTGCATTAAAGACCAGCCTTGGGAGTTTTTCAGAAGAAAACATATGAGCCCCAACAACAGAAGCAGTTACTAAAGACCACTACTTCATGAAATGTGTCTGCAGTGACAGCATCATTTTTAGTGGCTAACTGCATTGTGGAAGCTAAGAGACCTGTCGCTATTGTTGAAGAGATGATCCTGCTTGCTGCTCAGGACATTTGTAGCAAGCTTTTAGGAAAGACTGGTTCAAAAGGTGGCATGCATTCCTTTCTCTGCTAACACTGTGTAACTAGACAGTTGATGAAATGACCCAAGATATTAAAACACGATTGTTAGGATTAATCATTGCGGTCCACAATCTTGGTTGGTAAGATGTTGGCACAGCAGTAGTGCAGTAAGAGGCATAGTGGAAGCAGTGGGATTTGTTTTTGCATCAGTTAGCATGAAGAGACCTGGTCTCATAATTTCTGATGCTACTGGGCAGTATAGTAGGACATGCCTATAATCTTGGCACTTGGGGGCTGAGGCAGGAGTGTCACATGTTCAAATAACTCAAAATGGTTTCTGAGCAAATGGTCCTTAAGTTGGGAGCCTAGCGAGCATTGACGGTTCCACCCAACCCGTAAAACTACTTCTAATTCTCTTACAGAACCACTGTCTCATGTCTTTGCCACACTGTATGTAGAGAGATGCTGTCTAAGAAAATGAAACAAAATTATTGAGACTGTTGGGACCTCATACCATTGGTTTTTTTATATATATAAATAATTTTTGTGTGTGTCTTTTTGAGACAGGGTCTCTCTTTGTAGTTCAGGCTGGCCTTGAGCTCACTTTGTAGCATAGCTCACAGTGATCCTCCTGCCTCAGCCTCCCAAGTGCTGTAATTATAGGCGTGAGCCACCATGCCCGGCTCATTGTTATGTTTGAAGCACTATTTTAAACATCTCTCTTTGGTTTTGAGATGGGGTCTTATTGTGTAGTCCAGGCTGGCCTTGAACTCAAAGTGATCTTTTTGTTTCCATCTCCTGAGTGCTGGGGTTAACAGGCATGTGCTAAATGTCTCTTTAAAAATAATGTGTTGAAGGTAGAACTGGCTGAGAGAAAGGATGAGGAGATACATCAGGTTGTTTTGATGCAGAGAATGTTACAGGATCTGGAAACATTTTTAGGGTTTTTTTGCAGCAGACAGACAGGCAAAAATTAATGAGATGCATGGTGGTAAGTGGACAAAACAGTAGGACATCTAACCTAGTTCCGGATGTTTATTGCCCTTGTTCCCTTCACCAGGTTTCTAGTTATTCCTAGAAACTGCTTGTTATCTAAGTTTACCTTGACATGGTAGAAACTCTTTGGAGAGGGGAACCAATTACTGAGCACAAAAATCAGTGAGGCAAAGAATACTGGCATGTTTCCTGTGTGTTAGGCACTGTGGTAAACACTCAGAAAACGAACATGACCCCTGTCCACTTGTGGCCTGCTATTGTGCAGAAGAGATTTTTTTCTTTTCACTAGTCAATAAAAGTTGACAGTATGCAACACTGGAGAAGTCCCAAGTTTTTGTATTAAAGAGCCCTAGCCTAGGAGAAGAGATCTGGCAGGCCTGTCTGAAGAAGTCCTGAAACTGTAGTCAGAGGTGGGCAAACAAGAGAAAGACCAGTAGTGTGCAGGAGGCAGAAGAGAACGCAGTGAGTCCTGACTCCGATGGAGAGGACCTGCAGTCCCACCAGCAGTCACAGGAATGGGGTAGGGGTGAACCTACACTGCAGTATGATCAGGGCACGGCAGGTTACAGGGGTGTTTTCCAAGTCCATGCTCAAGAGCAGCTGGCTCTGACCATTACTCGGGAGGAGAAAGTTTGCTTTGTGTTTTAAGCTGATGAACAGCTTCAGACATTGACAAAGATAGAAACAGTAGTAAGATGAGCCCTTATATTCCTATCACTCATAGCTGATCTTGTTCTACATGTGCATCCTCCTTCCTGTGTCCGCCTCCTGATTTTGTGGTGCTCGTGGGGAAGGGGTTGAACTGTTGTACCTGGTAGAAAGAAGATGGCTGTAGGTCTCCTCAGATGTTAGTTGCAGTCCAGCACCTGTTCTGAGGGCTGGCACATGGCTCCATGCACTTTTATAGGTTCACCCCACAGTCAGGTATCAAAAGTGTTTAATGAATTACATTTTGGACTGTTTTCAGAAGGAGAAGATGAAGAGGATGAGGAAGATGAGGATGGTGAGGAGGAAGAGTTCGATGAAGAGGAGGATGAAGACGAAGATGAGGATGTAGAAGGGGACGAAGATGAAGACGAAGTTAGTGAGGTCAGTGCACCTGGTTACTTCTTTTTTTTTTTTTTTTTTTTTTTTTTTTTTTTTTTTGTCTTTTTCATTTTTATCGGTACCGGGGATTGAACTCACGACCGCCTGCTTGCAAGACCGGTGCTTATGCCGCTGAGCTAGATCCCCAGCCCCCACCTGGTTACTTCTGTGGTGCTGGTGAAGAAGCCCCACGCCTCACACAGGCTGAACTAGTAGTGCGCCACTCCTGAGCTGCATTCCCAGCCCAGGGCATCTGCTTCCTTTTTGTAGTAAAGGCAAAATGGTTAAGGGAAGGACAAGGAAAAGGCTTCCTGAATAAAAATGTGAGTTTGATTAATTCAGTTTTTGTCCCCATTTATGTTGTAGCACTAAGGATTGAAGCCAGGGCTTCAACATTTGCTAAGCAAGTGTTCTACCTAGCCCCTAGCTACATCTCCAGCCCTTATACTCCTTTAAATGTCAAGTGGTAGGCTGACTGAATCCTAGCTAGACACAGAGCTCAATTCTGCAAGATACATTTTGGCTGTTCAACTTTTGAGAGAAAGGAATGAATCGGGTACTCAGTAGGATAGAAAAACTGGAAATGCTAAGAGTTGATAGTATGTTCCTTGTTGTATCAGAAAGAATTGCATGTTTACCAAGTTGGAAGTTCTTCATGTATACTTAGTTTCATTCAGTAAATGTATTGTATGTCTGCTGCCTTGGGAGAAAAGTAGGAATGTGGTCCTGTCCTGAAAGAGCCGGTAGTCTATAGGCACCATGACAACCATGGAAGAAAGAAATACCCTGACTCTCAGAAAGGTTTGGAAAACAGAATGTTTTTACTAAGAAGCTTGTTGTTATAAAGCAAAGCATTTGTATGATCTCGTAGGTGTTTGATGACTTAAGGCCTAGGGGAGTTTTCTGTAAGAATGGGAATATAACAAGGCCAGAGATACACAGCTTCGTGGTAAAGACCAACTTTCATGAACTTCTAGGCTCAGTCCCCAGAGCAAACACCTTACCTCCATACCCTCAGCAAAAGAGTAATATAGAAAAAAATCAGTACCAAATCTGCTGTGAAATTCAAGATTTTTAAATCATTTCTTAAAGTTTTCCTTTTAAGTTGTATACTAATTAAACATCTAACAAGCTGGTTGCTTATGAATAAAAGAATTTTAAGTATATTTCTTCTCAGTTTGGTAGGATTGATCTTACAGTGATGTGTTGTATATCATTCTTTAGGAAGAAGAATTTGGACATGATGGAGAAATTGATGAAGATGAGGAAGATGAGGATGAAGATGATGATGAAGGTGGGTCTGATGCATGAATTTTAGATCTCAGTTGGATGGAAGCCTGCACAGTAGCACCTGCCTGAATCCCAGCAGGGAGGAGGCTGGCAGGCAGATAGATTATGAGTTTGATGCCAGCCTGGGCTTCATAGTTCAAGGCCAGTCTGAACTCCAGACATAACAAGACCCTCACTCAAAACAGTTAGATGAAAATGTCCATCATTTAAAATGCCATACCACTGAGAAGATGATAAAATGCCTTTGGGCCATGTTCCTAGTGGTCTTGCTGAACTGGTACAGCCTCCCAGATCTGCTACAGGAGTTGTTGATGTTTGAGGGCTTGAAATCTGGCTGGTTTCTAGCTCCATGTTTCAGGTGGTTTTAGATCTCATCTCTCGGTTTACTGCCAACTAGGAGATCTCTGTGTTGAATTCTTTCATTATAAAGGCTAATTAATTGGGTCATAATTTATAGGATGGATAAACAGCACTTTTCCCAGTTTATTATGGGTGTTACTTTTTTCCCCACCACAACCAAGAATAGTGAAATGGTGGTCGGTTTATTTACCATATATTGAGAGTACAGACTGTCTTGGTCATTCAGGTCTTCAGAGAAGCAGGCTGCTGCTGGGCTGTGTGCTGGTTCATACTTACTCAGCGTCCACTCTTATGCCAAGCACCAAATCATTGGGTATTGCATTGAGAAGGATCTGGTCTCTCACCAATAGATTTTGAAATATGAATTTATAGATTTAATTAATTTCATTAAAATAGACATGAATTTTTATTAGTTGATAAAACAGGTTTCTATCCCTTGATCTCAAATATTCTAAGAATGTAAATATCCTAGAAATCCCATTTTTAATTTGTTTGTATCTCCTAATAGTGTTGTGTCCATTAGCACTGGCTTAGACAAAATGCCTTTTGTCTCAAAGTCAATTTTTGTTATTTGTGCAGAGGAGGAAGAAAGTGGAAAAGGTGAAAAAAGGAAGAGAGAAACAGATGATGAAGGAGAAGATGATTAAGACCCCAGATAACCTGCAAAAACAGAACTGTTCAGTATTGGTTGGACTGCTCATGGATTTGATAGCTGTTTAAAAAAAAAAAGGTAGCTGTGATACAAACCCCAGGACACCCACCCACCCAAAGAGCCAAAGAATAGTTCCTGTGACATTCCACCTTCTTCCTCTATTTAGTCCCTCTTGGTAATCTACTACCAAGCTTGGGTACTTTGCCCCAACAAAATTGTAAGCGTTGTTAGGTTTTTGTGTAAGACTTGCTGTAGCATGGATAGCTGTGATTGGTGAGTCAACCATCTATTGCTACCAGTTACACTGAGATTGTAACAGCATTTTTACTTTCTGTACAACAAAAAGCTTTGTAAATAAAATCTTAACATTTTGGGTCTGTTTTTTCATGCTTTTCTTTTTAATGAATTTTTTTCTTAACAATAGGACATTATATGTGACAATTGCCAAAAAGTATTTTTAAGACTTTAAGTGAAATAAATACATCACTCTTTGGTAAATCCTAGTTGTATGCTTACATTTTTAAAATTGAGCTGTGATTGTAAAGTAAGCTAATGTTAAAATACTAAACAGGGTGGACTTCATTTTTTTTTTTTTTTTTTTTTTGCATTGTTAGTGGGTGTTAATGAGAAAATGAATATACAGGTGTGTAGGGCCTTTTGAGTATCTACTCATTCTTAATGATGATACAGGAGAAATTCAGGCTTTTAGAAGGCTTGGGGGCTGGGGCTAGAGTTCTGGCAGAGCAGTTGCCTATCTAGCAAGTGTGAGGCCCTAGATTTAGTCTCTAAGCAACTTTTAATAATGTTTGCAATTGCATGCTCTGAGCTCAATGAAAACCTGTAAAGTAATGTTAAATTTGAGTATTACATGAATTAGGAAAAAGAATTGTCAAAAGGTCTTAACCAAGCTGGGTATGACACATGCCCATAATCCCAGCACTTGGTAAGTTGAGGCCAAGAGGGTCATGAATTTGAGTCCACTTTGGGGGTATATAATAAGATCAAGGCTGTCCTAAACTACACATGAAGCTGTGTCTAAAATGCACACAAAGGCCAGAATCCCAAAAAAGGAACTGAATTCTAATTCTGGCTCTGCTGCTTTTTCTATATGACCTTGTATTGACCTCCGGGTCCCTTCCCAGGCTACAATTGAAGGGGTGTGACCAAATGGCTTCTGAAGCCTTGCAGCATTGATGATCTGTGACCCTTGCTGACACAGAGGTCTAGAGGAAAAGATAGTTTCACACTAAGACTGAAATATGCATGGTTTGACTGACAAGAAAACAGAGAATAAGGTTTGTTACCAAGATAGGCATGGAAGAGACAGCAGTGTGTGGAAAGCCTCACCCACAGGCACTGCCTAAAACCAGCTTAACAGAAGTGGACATTTTCTCTATTCTTAAGCATTTTAAGGGGGCTGGGGGAAGGGAATATATTTCTAGTCTGTACTCAGTGGTTTAGCTGTTCAGTGAAAACAGCTATATGACAGTATTGTGCACAAGTGTTTGTTTTGTAGTGAAGATTTACGGGTTATTTTACTCCTAGCTGTAGTTACTGGAATGCATGTAAAAGCAATGTGAAAGGTTTGGAATCTTAACTGTATAGAAAAATTTAAATAGTCTGAATTGAGCCCCAAACTTGCGTAAAATTAAGTCATCTGTATACTTTATACGTACTCATTCTTCGTAAAGAAAAACAGTTTGAGCTGGGTGTGCTGTCACGTGCCTGAAACCCCAGCATTGGAAGGCTGAGGTAGGAGGATTGCTGAGTTCAAAGCTAGCCTGCATACTGCACAGTGAGATAATAAAAAAAAAAACGGAATTTGATTTCTGGTTTAACTCATGGCTTTTCCCCAACCACAGTGCCTCTGCCACTTAGCAAGTATTGTTTTTCTTGCTTCTATATGGTTATAAAACCTAGTATCTGTCAGACACCTAACATATTGCATGCTTATTGGCTGCAGGAGAGGAAGCAGCACTGGCTGAGCAACCAGCCGCCTCTGGAGCTTACAGTATCTAGGAAGGAAGAGACAGTAGCACGGGAGTGATCCTTACTAGACATAGCAACAAGATGCCCATGTGAGTGTGGGGCAGGTTTCTGGCTTTCTAGGGAAAGTTTCCTAGAGAGAAAAATATGTGAGCTGTGTGGGCAAATAAGGTTCAGAAATAGAAATGGAGACAAGGAGGGACAGTCATGCAAATGAATCAAAGATGGGAAATGGATGGGAACATGCAGACAGAAATAGGTAACATGCCTTCAGGGCTGAGGTGAGTTCCAGACCAGCCACTGCTGCATGGTGAGACCCTGTCTTTAAAAAAAAAAAATTAGTGAAGATCAAACAATAGAGAAGAGACTGAAGAAATTCAGACCTTTTGAATAGAGCAGTGATAGCAAACCTTTTAGAGACCAAGTGTCAAACTAACCCAAAGCCCACTTCTTATCACAAAGGGCCAACACTGATTAAACATGAATACTGAGGTGTTAGTCTAGCAAAAACTACATAAACATCTTTTACTTCAAAAATGGTAACATGCAACCACTGTCCAACAGCCTTGTTAGCCACGCCTTTCATGTATATTCACTGTGCTTGATCTATTGTAGCCGGTGAGATACTTAAGTTAGGATTTTATCTTTGTCATTTTTCTTTTACAATTAGTTTTCCCAGGTGCCTTTGGCATGAATCTGTCCTCTGGGAGACGTGTGAGGCTCAGTGGTGAAAGAACTAGAGGAGCAGGGCTGGGGGTGTCACTCAGTAATAGAGTCTCCCTAGCATGTGTGAGGCCTTAGGGCTAAGAGTTGGAGAAGCTTTTGCTGATATTACTCAGCAGTCCTATTTCTGCACTTCTATGTAAACTCCGTTGAGTAGGTTTGCAACAAATATTTGAGCCCTGGGTGGGAGCTGCCAGAGCTGGGTGACCAGTTCTGACTTGTAAGACCACTGGAGTTGAGATCCCCAGATGCCTGCCTGTGCAATGTCAGCATGTCATTTGAAGCCACAGTTCTGTCCTCTAAAATACAAAGGCTATTGCTTACTGGAGAAATTGGAGGGCAGGCAAGGGGCAAGACCAAGAACTGACCCACAGTGTCCTGGTGAAGTACTAAAAGAACCTAGCCTACCGAGGCTGGGCGGTGACTCAGTGGTAGAGTGCTTGCTTGGCATGCACAAAGTCCTGTATTCAATCCTTTGCAGTTATTTAAAAAAACAAACTGCAGAGAACCTAACCTAGAAACCGCACGGTGTGTTCTCAGCACTGTGCTCCTGAGTTTAGTTCACACCAGCCACAGGAACCCAGGTCCTAAAAAGCAATGCTACTTGCTGCTGTACAAATGAAAGCCATTTAGAGCCGGGTGTGGTGGCTCATGCCTGTAATCCCAGCACCCGGGAGGCTGAGGCAGGAGGATCATTGTGAGTTTGAGACCAGCCTGGGCTACAAAGCGAGCTCAAGGCCAGTCTGAACTGCATAGCGAGACCCTGTCTCAAAAAGATAAAAAAAAGAAATGAAAGCCGTTTTGTGGGAGATGCTTGTACCCTTCATCTCCGTAACTGACACACAGTCATGTTAGATGCAGGAGGATGCAGCCTTGTCCTGGTCTGGCATTCCTGTTTAGCTCGCACTACCTGGTCGCAGGGAAGGTTGAGGCAGAGCCGCAAAGGGGATTCCGTGTACCCTGTTTTGTGACCTGCTTTCCCAGCTGTGTCACATTGTGCTGACATCAATTTTAATGAGGCTATGATACCGCTGTGTTGACAGTTTGAAAAGGGAGTCGAGTTACTGACAGACTTCTACCAGCCAAATAATTGCCCTGCAGGAGAGCCAAGACCGGTGAGTGTGGAGTTCTTCCCAGGGCCCACTGGGCCCGCTGGAGCATGGGAGAATGTGGAGGAAGAAGTTATCTTTAGAGCTGCTCTTCTGATTAAGAGACCTGCCCTTGGCTCATCACAGCACGGGTGCCACTACAGTGCTGGGGAGGAGTAGGGATGTGAGGGTGGTCTCAAATGGTGCAGAACAGGCATTTCGGTCACCGGCTGGTATTCCCTCTCTGAGTCTCCAGGTTTTACTGAAGACACAATACCCAAGCTACACAAGCTTGCAAGTCCTCCCAGCTATCCACATTCCAGGATGGTATGCAGTGAGTTTTAGCCAGCAGCAGGGATGCTAGCCATTGCTTCTCATGTTGTTCCTCCTGATTTCTCGCCAGAGGAGCCGCCAAGAGTTGGAGCTGGTGGTGATAGCAGCTGTGCCCTAGACTGATGGAGGAGACAAGAAGAGACTAGTAGCAGGAGGCTAGTGAGGAGGCTACTGGTCATCCAGGTAAGGCCAAGTGAGGACTGCACCCCTCCTTCCGACCCCAGAGGAGCAAGATGTCTTCTGGAAGCTACAGTAGGAACATGACGCTAGTAGGGTGCTTGGGCTAGTTGATCCTATACTACAACTTGTTTTTTTAATTTCAAATAAAACTACTTTATTAAGCCAGAAACTTGCATACCACACAATTTAAAAACTTAAAATATAAGAATCAGTACATTTCTGTACATGAGCAGAGTTGTACAAATGTAACCATCTTCAAACTTAGGTCAGTTTTATCCCAAATCAAAGCACTGTACCTACTAGCTGACATCTTTTAATCCCTCTCCACTAAATCTAGGACTACTAAGCTAGTCTTTATCTTAGAGTTTCCTGCGTTTTTTTCAGACAGTCTCACTATGTAGGCCACATTAGCCTTAAACTAGTTAGCGTCCTACCTCAACACCCCCAAACCTGAAATTAAAGAGAAGTACTACCATGTCGAGTTTACAGTGTTGCCCAGACTGGCCTTGAATTCCTCAGCTCAGCCAATCCTGCATCAGCCTTCTGAGTACTACAGGTGCACACCGCCACACCTGGCTTCAGTTCTATTTTGTTTGAGACAGGGTCTCACTATATAATCCAGGCCTTGGACTCACTATGTAGTCCGGCTGACCTGGAACTCAGAATGATCCTCCTGCCTCAGCCTCCCAAGTGCCGGGATTATAGATGTGCACCAACACGTGGCTAACTGCCATTTCTGATGTAAGCAATGATGGCCCATGATGTGTCCATGGCACGCTATAGTTTATATCACTGTTTTATAGCCATTACCTGCTAAAGGAGCCAATGAGCACCTTACCTCCATCTTCCAGATGAGGAAACTAAGGCTCAGGGTTTGTTTCAAGGTGAGTTAGTGTTAGAGGGGGTGTGGTGGCTCATGCCTGTAATACCAGCACTTAGGAGGCTGAGGCAGGAGGATCGTTGTGAGTCCGAGACCAGCCTGGGCTGTGAGCTCAAGGTCAGCCTAAACTACATAGTGAGACCCTGTCTCATAAAAAAACAAAACAAGATGAGTTAGTGTTGCCAAGTCCCAGCATGTCCAGCAAAGCTGATGTCCTTCCCTGCCATGGGCCATTCCCAGGGAGACTTGGCTTCACATCCTACTGCTTGCTCCCATCCTGCCTTCTCAGCCTTCTCCTTGCCGCTTGCCCCCACATGCCCCACGGGATGGCCTGCACACTCCTACACATCTCACTGCAGCCTTCATGCTGTGCACTCTCCAGACACTCTCTCCAGCTGTACAAGCACAAGCCATCATGCAAACACAGGTTCGCCAGTTTACCCTGAGAGATATTACAGACAGGTAATACAGGTGCAGAGCTGCATGGAGTAAGACCTGCAGGCTTTTCAAGTGTGTGACCTGCCTTGGGGAAGAGAAATTCTATTTTCTATAGCTTTCCTTGGAAAAGGAGTTTACAAGTCAGAAACATGGATGAAAATCAAAAACTATAACTTTTATATTTTATTACAGAGTATGCCCTGCTGTTGGTAAGACAGAGAATCATTTAAAAGACTTGTGACAGATAGGGGTGTAGCTGAGTGGTACAGTGCTTGCCTAACACGTACAAGGCCCTGGTTCCGTCTCCAGCATCACAAAATAAATAAATGAAAAATACGAACCTTTACTTCCTTTCGTTTTTTGGCTAGGGTCTCACTATGTAGTTCAGAGTGACCTTGAATTCACTCTGTGGTCCATGTTGGCCTTAAACTTGCAGTGATCCTTTTGCTTCAGCCTCCTGAGTGGTGGGATTATGGGTACATGTCATCAAGTACATATCGTGAAGGTTTTAACTATTTGATATTCTGCATGTGTCCAACATTAGGACTCATTCTCTTTAGTAGGTCAGTGTCTTCTTTAAAATGTGCAGGTGAGCCAGGCATAGTGGTGCATGCCTGTAATTGCAGCACTGGGGAAGCTGAGGCTGGAGGGTCACTGCAAGTTTTAGGCCAACCCGAGCTACATAGTGAGTTCAAGCCAACCTGAACTACATAGCCAGACTCTGTCTCCTAAGTGAACAAACAAAAATAAAATAATGAAATGTAGAACTAATATTGGATGACGAATCTTTTGACCCAGACATGGTAGAAACAAGACTGGGCCAAATATTGCAAGCATGCGCTCATTCCAGGAAAAGTTTTATGGAGAGGGGAGCAGCCCAACTGGGCCTTGGCTGAGGAGTCAGCAGTTGGTCAAGAGAGTGACCAAGCTGCTGCTCACAGAACAGCAAATAGAGCAGCAAGTTTTTACTCACTTTTCTGGAACAGGCTGAAGCCCATTAATTTTTATTGGTTGGTCTAGGGCAGAGTTCCACAATTGGCTTCTAGTGATAGATTTGGATCCCTGGTGGTCATGGTCACCTCTTCCCGGAGGATGCTGAACATTCCTGGATCCGGCACCATCACCCTGCAAAGAACATTCCAGGCTTGAACTTGGTTGGAGCCACTGAGTTCCTGTCACAGCTGGCATCCCCACCTTGCCCACATGGCCTAGCCTTATGATGCAGCCGAGGGACGTTTGGTGCTTGAGCTGCTGATGAAACACAAGGCTGGAGAAGGAACACACACCTGCACCAGGGGCAGTTGGACAAATTAACCCCACATCACAGTCTCAGACAAAACGAGTTCCCCTTTTTAATCCTCTACCCTCTCTTCCCTCCCATTTTCCCATCCACATCCCCCATTTCCATCTTTTCAAAGAGCCAACTCTGATACTTTGATCCTTTGTGTTATTTTTTAGTCTCAATTTCATTAATTTCTGTTCTAATCTTTACAATTTCTTTATTCCTTCCTTAGTTTCGGATTTAGACTGTTCTTGTTTTCCTAGGACATGAGCTGCATCACCCAGTTGAGATCACTCTGTTCTTTTATGCGTGCATTCACAGAACACAAATTTCCCACTTAGAACTACTTTCACTGCATTCGATAGGTTTTGGTAGGAGCACAGCCATTGTCCTTTTCCAAGACCTTTTTATTTCTTCCCCAGTTTCTTCTGAGATCCATTGATTATTCAATAATGTATTATTTAGTTTCTATGTGTTTGCACATTTTCTGTGGGTTCTTCTACTGTTAATTTCTAGCAAAGCAATTTTATAAATGATCAACATATTTCTGTGCAGAGCTGAGTAGACTATGACTCAAAGGTTAAGACAACAAAGGGGACAGATACTATATAAAGACAGAGATGTTGCTGGGCACGTTGGCACATGCCTGTAATCCCAGCACTCAGGACATGAGGCAGAAGCATCGCCACAAGTTTGAGACCAACCTGGGCTACATAGCAAGTTCAAGGCCAGCGACATAATGAGACCCTGTCTCAAAAAAAAAAAAAAAAAAAAAAAAAAAAGAGATGGAGATGCCAATCCTTTTATGGCATTTTAGTCACCATCAGACACTATAGACTCAAATGAGAAGTCAGTATTGTGAACAGTCAGATTTCAGACCTGCAGGAAATAACCCAGGCGACTGTTACTATGACCCATATGTCAGAGGTACTGCCTGCAGCAAAGCTAGTGAGAAATTCACCACATATTATCCAGTTGTGTAGCCTCAAAAATTGATGATTTTAAGTTGACTAAAAGCAAGTGAGGCTAGGTTTATTTTCATAATAACAATTTCTCACTTTATGGAAAGATTCTGTTTCTATCATTTTATCAGGGTCTCATAATGAGTTTGTTCAAATATGCCATGCTTTTTTTTTTTTTTTTTTTTTTTTTTTGTCTTTTTTTGTTTTTATCGGTACCAGGGATTGAACTCAAGACTGCCTGCTTGGAAGATAGGTGCTTATGCCGCTGAGCTAAATCCCCAGCCCCAAATATGCCATGCTACAAAGTGTAATAACTTACTGGGTACAGAAGTTTGTCATCCCAGGCTTCTGACTTTCCATTGTCCCCCCATGGTGGTCCCCATGGTGGTTTGCTGCTTTCCATTGTCCCCCCATGGTGGATAGAGCCAGTGGAGGGTCTATCACGAGTGTCCTGCCCCTTGTTCTAGTATTAGATTTCTATTATATAGCCTTAGCTGGGGCTCCTCTTGGTATGACCTATGGACACGGCACTGGACTCGATGCATGGATGCTTCCTAGGAGTGCTGTGCGCTACGGCTGAGTCTGTCTCCCTGCCCCCCGCCCCATCCTGGATGTGGTTTCATGACACTGTAGGCTCCTGTGAAGTTTTTTGGTCTGACAGTGTTCTCCCCTGAGTGACTCCTCTAGAGACTACTCAGCACAGTGAAAAAGGAAGTCCCCTTCGGGTCATGCAAGACCCACTCTTCAGGTCTCTGCTGAATATGGGGACAGTTCTTTGAGAAAAGCAAGATAGTAGATACCCACAGGGTATCACTAGGGCAGAGAAACTCCTGGAGTAAAGTCAGAACCATTCTAAACATGGAAGGGGACTGCCTATACTACCCGAGTCAGAACCAAAGCCACACTTGTGAGTTGAGAAACTCACTGCACTCACTCGCTTGTTTGATATTTGTTGTTCTGTGATAATGTTATTTATATGGAAAGGCTCAACTGTCAGCAGATCATGAGTTATATTTACGCATGGGAATAGAAAGAGGAACAAGGTAGAAAGTCCTGAGGGCTCAGAACTTACAGGCTAATGGGCAGAATAATTACACAAATAGGCAGTTACAACAGAGCATGTAAGTTCTTTTGCCCAAAATGAAGACAAGAAAGGTTTATTTAGCTTACAGTTTGTGGAGGTTTCAGTCCATACTCTGCTGGCTCCTAGGTAGGGTGGTGTGGCTGAGGGGCAGCCGTTCATGTTCACGGCGACTGCAAGTGACAACAGCATAAGAGCAAAAACAAGGAGGAACAGGCCTCTGTCCCTCCCCATATTGTATGCCAGTTGCCCACCTCTGGGTGGGTGCAGCACTCACACTGCCAATCCCAGCACTAGACAACAAACCAACCACAAACACTAGACTTAGTGGCCTCCATGAGTGAATGAGGCTTGTGGGGGGACACTTAAACCACAACAGTGGCATAAGGTGGTGAGAATTGAGAGGCAGCAGGGTAGGGATAGGGCTCCAGAGGAAAAGATGCCAATCTCTGTGACCTGAGCACAGAGTAGGAGGGAACCAGGCAACCCTGGTTGGAAGGAAGAGAGTTCCAGGCTGAAGAAACTGCATGCGCCAAGGGCCACAGGCCAAGGACTGAGAGATCCTCGGCAGGGTGGAGCACAAGCTGCATAAAAGGATGAGTCTGGAACAGTGGGAAACGGGAAACAGACTGGATTTTATTCTAGGAGTGTGCAGGAATTTTGAAGGGCTTTAAACAAGGAAGTGATATGATTAAAAAAAATTTTTTTAATTGTATATTGAGCCAGACATGGTGGCTCTCACCTGTAGTCTCTGCAGCCTGCAAGGCTGAGACGGGGTCTGCCTAGGCAACTTAGTGAGATCCTGTCTCAACATTTTACACTTATTTTTTTTTTCTTTTTAACGGTACCGGGGATTGAACTCACGACCACCTGCTTGCAAGGCAGGTGCTTATGCCGCTGAGCTAAATCCCCAGCCCCTGTCTCAACATTTTAAAAAAATGTTTTTTTTTAAGGGCTATAGCTTAATGTGAAGACCTTAAGTTCAGTTTTACTCCTGAAAAAAAGAAAAGAGAAAGTGGAGAAAGGGGAAGTGGATTGTATTGTATTGCAAAGTTCAGGAATCGATTTGGGCTCCATCAGTACAGGTTTGCCCCTGAATTTACAGGTGTGACAGTCACCCAGGGAGGCTATGGGGAATATGTAAGACGAAAAAGCACTCAAAGGCCAGAGATACAGCTCAGGAGCATGGCACCTGCCTGGCAAGTGCTAGGTCCTGAGTTCAATTCCAGGTACAAAAAAAAAAGGAAAGAAAAAAAAGAGCACCCAACAGAACCCGGTGGCACCTGGTGTGGAAAGGAGGACAGGAGAAGAGAAATCTGCAGATAAGGGGCAGCCAGAGCAGTCTGAAGACAGCAGGAGAGCGATGCTACCCACGGTTCAGATGACACCACAGACAGTGTCCCCAGAAGGCCGGGGGTCCCCTGTGTGCAAGGCAGCATATAGATAACGCCCAGGGTGCAGCACTGCTGACTGTTCAGAGGCCGGGTTAGGAGCACCAGGAGGGTGAGGAGGGAGACAGTGGAGACAGTGAATCTCCCGCAGAGGTTTCCCTGTGAAGAGCGGTGTGGGGCAGGCTGCGGCGAGACCAGGGCTGGGGGAGCCTTCTTTCCTTGAATACTCAGTGTCATGGAAGATGAGGTCAGATACACAGATGCACACAGAGGACTTTCCCAGAAGCCTGCAGCAACACTAAGATTAGTGCTTGGAAATTAAGAGACAGAAGATTTAGACTTGCCTTAAAGAAAAGTAAAGAACAAATGAATGGAACTGAAAATGAGTGGAAAGCGCTCTGCAGAGCCCAAGAGGAGAAGAGCTGAGGAGAAGAGAAGAGAAGCAAATCCTAACTCACCGGGTCTGAACAGTGAGCGGAGGCACTGTTCATAGATTTGGATTCTTGATCCCATCCCACATTTTCTTTTAAGGAGGAGGCATGCAACTAACAAGTGAACTCTGAGCTTCCAGTGGTCAAACACACCTGTAATCCCACCACTCTGGGAGGCTGAGGCAGGAGGATGACCAACTGGAGCACAGCCTGGGAAACTCGGTGACTTAGCAAGACTGTCTCAAAATAAAAATTAAAAAAAAAAAAATAAGACGGTTGAGAATTTACAGTGTCAAGACTCTGGATTCAATCCTCAATACCATAAATAAATAAATAAATAAATAAATAAATAAAGTGAACTCTGCATTTCTGAATGAGGTTGGCTGGAAAATTCCCTTTATTTATGCATCATTGAGGGTCTCACATCTTATACAAAAATTAATTCAAAATTAGGAGTGGTGGTGCACGTCTGTAATTCCCAGCACTCTGGAAGGCTGAGGCAAGAGAATTCAAATTTGACCCCGGTCTTGCAAATTTAGCAAGACTCTGTCTCAAAAAATGAACTGGAATGAGGAGATAGCTCAGTGCGAAACCCCGTTTCAACTGTCAGTACCACAGAAGAGATAGATAGATAGATGAGACTCCAAATGGATCACAGGCTGAAGTGTAAACATAAAACTCCCCGAAAACGTTTCTTAAGAGAGAAACTTTATGTCTAGGGTTAGGCAAAGTGCACTTAAACTTAGTCCAAAAATCGTGATCCATCCAAGCAAGAAATGAAAACTAGACTTCATTTATTCTGATTTAGATCTAAAATGTCCCCCCAGAGCTTCTTGCGTTGGGAGTGGATTGTGGGGTTCCATAGTCATCAGTGGATTAATCCATTAAGGTGTGGTCAAGCTGCTGTGCTGGAGGGGTGGTAGCGTCCAGCCGGAAAAGCCTGGGCTGTGGGCCTGGCCTGGAAGGGTTTATCCCCGCCCCCAGCTCCCCTCTCTCCCGGCTTCCTGATGGCCCAAAGAGCCCCTCCAAGCTCTTCTATTGTGCTTGGAGCCTGCTGACTGTGAACTAAAGCTTCCACAACTGTGAGCCAAAATAAACCTCTTCTCCTTTAAGTTGTAGGGTACTGAGCCACCATGATGAGGAAAGTGATTCGGATGTCATCAAAACCGAAAGCCTTTTCTTGGCAACAGACCTTGTAACAGAGATCAAAAGGGCAAGCCGCAGCTCCTGGCCAGGAGAAACTTTGTAAACCACATAGCTAACAGAAGAACTAATGTCAAGAAATAGGAGGGACTCTGAAAACTCAGGCACCACCAACTAATAGAATTAGGAAACAGGCAAAAAAATACAAAACATTTTCACCAAAGAGGCTATGCAAAGGGCACATAAGCCCACGAAAAGATGGCCCTTTAATAAACACAAATAACCACCACAGTGAGCTGCCACTCCACTGTATCAAACTGGGAAAAGTAAAAAATAGTTACGCCAACTGCAAGAGAAAATGCAAGGACACGGGGAAACAAGGTACTGACATTCTGGAAAACGTTGTTTCTACAACTGAACATACAAGCACCTATGACTCAGATACTGCACTGTTGGGCATTATTAAAGAAAGTGAAAACTCATGTTTACACACACTAATATGTGCAAAAATGTTTAGTCATATTCATAGTTCCAAAAAGAAAATAACCAGATGTTCTTCAGAAAGGTAAAAGGGTAAATAAACAGTGCTTCACCCAGTGCATGGAATGCAACTCATCAGTAAAAAGGAACACAGGACGATATACCAGCTATCTGGATAAATCCCTAGAAAATTATGCTGAGGGACCAAAGCTTCTGGTAAAAGATTAAAAGCTATGAGGTTCCATTTATACAGTTTGTTTTTGTTTAAGACAGGGTTTCACTATGTAGTTAAGCCTGGCCTTGAGCTCACTTTGTAGCCCAAGGGGGCTACAAATCCCAGCCTCCCAAGTGCTGGGATTACAGGTACACACCACCAGCTTTGGCCTTACACACTGTTCTTAAAGTGAGAGAGTTGTAGCTCTGGTTTCCAGGGGATGGGGTAGGATGCGCTGGAGGGAAGTGGGTATCTGTGGGCAAAAATAAGACAATTAGGTGCTGGTCTTCATTACCAGTCTTGGGAGACTAAACCTGGCTGACACCTACGTCTATCCCCAGCACCCATATCCGGGTAACTGCCTTTCTGGTTTGAGACATCCTAGCAAGTGTAAAGTGGCATCTTATTGTGGTTTTGCTTTGCATTTCCCGAGGGCTAATGACACTGATCATCTTCTTATGAGCTTACTGACCAGGATGTCCTTTTATCCTGTTTTTCATGATTGGATGGTTTAGATCAAAATGTCCCCAAGTTTTGGAAGGTGACTGGGTCACGGAGATACTGTACTCATTGGTGGATTAGCTCACTGACGACACTATGGAATTGAGGCCTGGCTGCAAGAAATGAGTCACTGAGGTGTGACCTGGAACAGTGCGTTCTTTTGAGTTTTTGAGACAGGGTCTTGCTGTGTAGCCCAGGCTGGCCTCCAACTCCTCCTCCCACCTACACCTCCCCAGGGCCAGGCTCACGGGTGTGTGCCACCTCCCCAGCTCTGGAGGAGTGTGTTCCAGTCCCTGCTTTTCTCCTCTCTCTCTGCTTCCCAGCTGCTTGGGATGAGCAGCTCTCCTCTCCATGCACTTTTACTGTGGCCCTGGAGCCATGCAACTATGGACTACACTAATCCAAAATAAATCTCTCCTTCTTTACAATGAGTGTGGTGGGTATTTTGTATCAGTAACAGAAAAGTTAATACAGTTTGACATGGGACTCATGAATTCACTGAGCTGGTACATATCTACTTCTTTTATAGTTTGTTTTCTCAGTTGCCCAAGTTGGTCCGAAACTTGCAACCCTCCTGCCTCAGGCTCTTTAACAGCTAGGATTACAAGCATGCACCACTGCACCCATTTCCAAACAGATCTTTGAACACATCTGGATCAGTGTGGTTAGCATCAAGTTGGCATCACATAGCTGAGGCCAGGTTGCCACGGCGTGTTCTAGTGGCCTAGGACTGTGTCAGATGACAAGACAGCAAGCAGGCTGGGGGTTAAGGTCTGGGCCTTCCACCTGAGGACACAGGTGAACTGGAAGCTAAGGATGAGGAGGAGCCTCAGATCTGGGAACGGACCAGCCCAGCTAGGCCTAACCACTGCCCTCTGGTGGTGGCTATCCCCATTTTGCAGAGGAGGAAGTCATCCTGTGAGGACCCAGGTAGGGAGAGAAGGACCACGATGATTTTTTGATTTTGGGTTTTTGAGACAAGGTCTCACTAACTATGTATCCCAGACTGGCCTCAAACTAACAGCAATCCTGCTGCATTGGCCTCCAAATTACAGGCACCTTCCACCATGCCCAGCCTTAGCATTATTGTTGTTTGTTCTTTTGAGACAGGATCTTGCTTTGTAGTCTAGGCTAGCCTTGAATTCACTATACAGCCCAGGCTAGCCTTGAATTTGAGGTGATCCTCCTGCCTCAACCTCTTGAGTGCTGGATTACAGGCATGTGTCACTCCACCCAACCCTCGAGAGCAGACTATCATCATTTGCAATTGGGATTGGGTAAGAATTTCAGCCTAAATGCTGCCTCTTCATAAAGACTGTTTATTTGGTTTTATAGTACTGGGGATTGAACACAGGGGCCTCATGCCAAGCAAGTGGGCTAGCTCTGCCCTATTTTATTCTATTTAGTTTAGTTTTTTGTTTTTTCTTAAAACAGTTTCACTATACAGTTCAGGTTGGCCTTGAATTCACTTTGTAGCCCAGGCTGGCCTTGGACTCTTGCTGAACCTTCTACCTCAGCCTCTGGAGTGCCATTTTTATTGTAAAACAGTGTCACTAACTTGCCCAGGCTAGCCCCAAATGGGTGGCTTCAGATTCATGGTGCTTCAGCCCCTGAACAGCTGGGCCATCATGCTTCGCTTTCTAAAGTAGGTCGCCGAGTTTGAGGATAGCTCAATGGTATAGCACACTCAGCCCTGGACTCCATCTTCAGTGCACATGCGTGCACACACACACACACACACACACACACGCACACACACAAAGTTTTTACTGGTCTGACACAGAGCACTCTGTTTTTCTATGGCCCTGGCACTGGCTGTTGTCCCTGGCACATAGCAGACTCAGGAAAGATGTCCTGGATGTGTATGTGAGGTCCTTTTGGGAACTGGTGAGCTGAGTCTCAAAATCCTTCAAGGGAGATACGAGTCACTTACACCTCTCGCACCCCTGAGGCACGGGCAGGGGCAGGGACTTGTTCTCTGGGACTAAGGCCCAAGGCTGAGGAAGCAGGTCGGGTGGGCTGGGTGTGACCTGCAAGGTTGCCATTAAGCAGAATGATTAAGAACCTTGAGAGGATCAGGCTCCAGCCAAGTGACAGCAGGGCAGGTCGCTGACAGCTGGGATTGGGGAACATGAGTGGCTCCATACTTCACTTCTGCAGAGAGCTTGGCAGAAAGCTGGCCTCAGTGACCGGAAGTCATGTTCCCCAAGAGGCTAGATGAGGCCTGAGGAGTAAACGGATGAAGTCACTTCCACTTAGATTTTACATCCCTCTCTTCTCTTTCACACTCGCTCATTCAGAAAATGTTTATCTGGCCTGGTAATCTCCACTGAGACAGGAGGATCACAAATTCAAGGCCAGCCTGAACCTATTGGGATCCTATCTAGCAGTGGGGGTTGGGTGGCCCAGTGATAGAGTGTTTGCATAGCATGTTCGAGTCCCTGGCTGTGATCTTCAGACCAGAACACCTGCTAGGTGCTAAGCAGTCCTATGCTTGGTGATGCAGATGAAGCAGAACATAATCCAGGCCCAGATTTTAAGGTGCTCCATGAAGGACACAGTTCTATGGCTCTGCAGAGCACAAGGCAGAGCAGGTCTCTGCCTACCCTGGGCACCACATGTCCCCAGTGCTTGGTGCTGAGTGGGTATTGAAGGAGCTTCCTAACCTGAAGGAGCTCTAGTCTAGAGGGACTGACAGTCCAGAGAAGAGGCATCTACCTTAAGGGTGAGAAGTGGTAAAAGGGTTCCCTGTGCAACTAGAGAAGGCTGTCAGTCCAGGGAAGGGTCTGAGATACAAGGTCTGCCAGTTTGAAGGACTCAGAACAAAGTGGCCAGCCTGGCTCTGTAGGATGGAGGTAGAGGACACAGAATGAGGACACAAAGGAAACCGTCTGTGCCAAGGTGTGGAGGGGACAGAATACTATGACCTTTTAGGGGGACCCTAAGCAGTTCAGTGTAGCTAGAGCAAATGGTAAAAAAAAACAAAACAAAACAAAACTAGGCAGAGTTTAGGCTGGAGGACGCACTCAGGGTGGCCCTAGGATTTAATGTGGAAACTGGGGCCCCATGTCCAAGCTCAGCCCCATGACCCTGGAACAGTGATTCCTGCTTCAGCCCCCCAGCTCTCCATCTCCTTTCTTTTGCTGCTTCCCCTTGTTTTTCAAACATGAATTTCCTCAGAACCCCTAGATTCTGAAATGCCCTTCCAGCCCAGATCCATTTCCCAGCTGCTTTAAACAACTGAGTCGCCACAAGAAAGGTCTCCTTTTGTCCATTTTCTTTCCTTACCTCCTCTTTACCACCAAATCTGCAGCTTCAGTCGCACTCTATCGCAAGGCAACGACCTCTTCTTGTTCCTTACTGTCCCGCGTACTGTGCCTCACTTCCTCAGGAAACAGACTGGTCGCTGTCCGCAGCAGATTTTCCTCTGAGTATTGGGGTTGCCTTTCCTGTTGCCTGGTGGACAGTTTTAAGTGTTCATTTATAACATATCCAGAATCTGCGCTCTTTTTCCCACTGGTACTTTGCGCATCGGTTCCGGTAAGTCAATCGGCCTAACTCTGGCCAGTTTTATCCACCACCCAAATGAATGTACTAAGAGCCCTGGCTGCAAACAGCTCACAGTCCCAGTACCAGCTCTGCCCTAGCTTTTCGCGTGGCTTTGAAAAAGTCACCGGGACTTCTTGAACCCGTTTCCTCTCATAGAAAATAGAAAAGGGTGTCCATTTATTGAAAATTTACTACACCAAGTACTGTGACCAAGGGGTTCTATACATTACCTCACAGTTCCATATCATGTTTCCCGCTTCAGGTAAAAAAGCAAATAAGGCTCAGAATCAGTGTATATGACCAAGAGCGGGTTGGGATTCTAATTCTAGAATCCCAGTGGTTTCCATTACACCGCAGGGAGAAGCGCTGTGTCCACGCCCTCAGGAGCCGGGCACAGGTTCAATCCAGCGGAGGCGACCGCCAACCTCGCGCAGCCCAGCTCTGCAAGCTCCGTAAGCTCCGCAGCACAGCGCTGCCTACCGACCGCCGCTTGCCCTGGGAGGGACCGATCGCGGCCTCCAGGACCAGGAAGCCCCGCCCCGTCGCCCTTCCGCCGAAGGCTCCGCTCGCGTTCCTGATTGGCTATCGGTAACAGAGCGGCCCCCTATGATTGGCTACGCGGCAGCCACGGGCTGACGTGGCGGGGCGTGCGGACACTGCTGGCAGAGCGCTGCGCTGATTCCGGCTGCCACGGCCGCGCTGAGGAGCGATCGCTGCTGCGATGCCGCTGGAAGTGGAGCTGTGCCCGGGGCGCTGGGTAGGCGGGCAGCATCCATGCTTCATCATTGCCGAAATCGGCCAGAACCACCAGGGCGACCTGGAGGTGGCCAAACGCCTGATCCGCACCGCCAAGGTGAGGGGCGAGCTCCCGGGGAGAGAGGCGCGGCAGCGGGGAGCCCGGACGCCTTCTCCTTTCCGTGCCCTGCAGCCTGCCTGTTCCCAGGCTCTCCAGTTGTGTTTTCTGCCTTTTGAAGCCCACTGGAGTTAACTGGATAATCTTGGGCTGGTGACTTTTCCACGCTAGGCCTTAGTTTTCTTTTTGCACGGTGTGTAGGTGTGTGCTTTAAAATTTAAAGAGTAGAATTGCTTGAAATTCTTGTATTTCAGAATTTTTCACTTTTCTGCTATTTGTAGGTGGAGTCATATTTGTAAGTTTAGTTACCCGTAGTGTATTATACACGGGCTGGCTTACTCGTGCAGTGAATCAGTTTGCAATATTAAAAGTAGATTTTGTTCAGTTATTTTTATTATAGTAAAATATGTCGTACAACGTAATATGTAAATATAATTAGGAACTTAATGAAGTACTTCCAGCTTTCAAATTTTGATGTAAATGGAGTATCTTATCTTGCCCTTGTTTCTCATGGAGTCTTGAAGCTTGATTTTGCCAGTAGAGAAACCGTAAAAACTTGAACAAAGAAACCATCAGCATTACAGTCTGCAACGTAATATTTTATTTTTGTTTTGTGGTGCTGGGGATCAGACCTAGTACCTTGCGCCCGTAGACTAAGCAAGTGTTCTACCCCTGAGCTACAGCCCCCACCCCACTGTTTTACTGTGGTAAAACAGTGTCAGTAGCTGCTTTTGGAAGCTATAGTTCACCATAGCATTAAACAATCATTTTTAGAAAAGCTTGAAAAAGAAAAGAGGAGCCCATTTTCTCCGCCACACAGCCAGTTATGTGGAATGCAATGGAACTTGTCTGATTTTGTATCAGCAGTTTCTGCTGTTTCACTTTGGTCCTCTAACTGCAAGGGGCAGGTTTGCCCAGGTGGAAACAAGCTTTTTCGCTTTTGCAGGCAAAATCTGCTTCCTGAGGTCGAATTGAGAAGTTGTGGAGCCAGAGCCTCATTCCACGTGAAGCTTTCTTGTCCTCTTGCTGAGGGCCTGGCACAACAAGAACCCAGGCATAGTCAAGGGCCAGGCACATATGTCTTGCAGCCTTTAAGAAAGGAGTCTGCCAGACACAGCAACTGGTCAGCTCACTTTGAGTCTTGAGTCTGCATCCAGGTAGTGCAAAGTCTGCGGCCTGAGGCCATTTCCAGTCCTAACAGTCTGAAAGTCCTGGCTGGAAGTCCTGGCCATGCCATCTTGTAATTTTTCCAGGAGTGGGAGTGGGACTCAGCATCCATGTTTCTGGACCCAAGAAGTTTTCAACAGCATGAATGCCTCCGTGTCTACAAAAATGGCAGTGAGGGTGGGTATGGTGGTGTGGGCCTGTAATCTCAGCACTTGGGAGGCTGAGATGGGAGGATCCCAGCAAGTTTAAGACCAGCCTGCACTGCGTCCCAAGACCTGTCTCAAAAGCAAACAAAAATGACAGATAAGATTTTAGAGGGTTTTGCCTAATCTTTATATTGAGTTTATGGAAAGAGTCCTGGGAGATGGGAGGCAAATTTGTAATTGAATTGCTGCTTTTATAGTCAGACAATCTGGCTTTATATAGTGGTTTCTACTCAGTATACATCATCAAACTAAGGTCATTTCTCACGCTTGCCTGTCTCCTCCCCTTAGCCTGTTGTTTGAACAACAAATTACCTGTAGGAAAGCTAAAATGTAGGGCAGCTCTCTGCAAAGTTGCTATTGTTGAGGTAAGAGAAGGTCCACAGAGCCTTGCCCATTTATTTCCCTCCAAAGGTAGCACTTGTCTTGAGAGTTAAGGTCAAAATTAAGCCAGAATCTGATTTTCTTTCCTAAGCCCTGCTCATTTTAGTCTCTTCTGTTGAATGTGTTACAGCACTTAAAATCTTCTGTAACTCTTTGATTTCTTTTAATGTTACTAATATTGGGGAAAGAAACTCCCAACCTCCTGGATGTTTGATAGATTTCATGTTCTCTAAAATCGAAGAATGAATTTTAGAAATAATGGAGGTTAAGAGCAGAATATATTTTTTGAGAGGAAGAAAGCTTCTGTCTGAGAGAGAGACAGAAGGGGTCCCGAGTGGTTATTGAGGACTCTGCCTTCTGTAAGGATTTTCATAGAGCAAAACCATGAGGTGAGGCAAGTTCATGGTGGGGAAAAATGGGAACTCCACGCAGGTGGGCATGAAGTGGAACAGAACTATGGTCAGCCAATAAGATTAGGAATGTAATTGCTCAGGTAAAAATGATTAAATTGGGATCCAATGGGGAATTGAGTCATCCCCCAATTGGACATGAATACAGACTAGGGCCTTTTCCTGTAGGGAATTGGGTTAGTGGCTTCTGGCTTCCTCAAGGTGATGGATACTTATTTAGAATATCAATCAGTTATGTTTATACTTAGGGTGTGGGTATATTTGTTTTGTCCTTTGGCTGGAAATCTGTCCCTCAGTGGAGCTTCTTTTCTAAGGTCACAAGATATCTGGTCTTGTGTGCTGGCTCCTTTGAGGGCCTAGCCCTATCTGACTACCTATAATATTTCTTTTTTTTTTTTTGTCTTTTTTTCATTTTTATCGGTACCGGGGATCGAACTCACGACCGCCTGCTAGCAAGGCAGGTGCTTATGCCGCTGAGCTAAATCCCCAGCCCCAATATTTCTAATTAACTCAGCGGCCTATAACATTACAGTGCAAAAGAATGTAAAAAAGCCCTAAAATTTTTTTGCACTTTAAGAGGAAAAATGTTGAGGGATCTCCCATCCTCAATCTTTTCTTTTGGTACCGGGGATCAAATTCATGACCTTGTACTCGCCAGGCAGACGCTTATGCCACTGAGCTAAGTCACTGGCCCCATCCTCAATCTTTTCTTCCTTCCAGACTTTGGTTGCTTCCCCTGCTCCGCTTTGGGGTCCTTGATGCCTGTGAATCCGTTTCGTCTTTAAAGATAATGATATCATAGCAGTCACCCCAGCATTTCTGCTCTCCAAGAACCCACATCTGACAGGCATCTTGCTGTGTGTTGCAGGAGTGTGGTGCTGATTGTGCCAAGTTCCAGAAGAGTGAACTGGAATTCAAGTTTAATCGGAAAGCCTTGGAGAGGCCGTATACTTCGAAGCATTCTTGGGGGAAGACCTATGGGGAACATAAGCAGCACCTGGAATTCAGCCACGAGCAGTACCGGGAGCTGCAGCGCTACGCCCGGGAGATCGACATCTTCTTCACTGCGTCAGGCATGGATGAGGTGAGTCCTCTGGCACTCTGTCATTGCTACGTTACGAAACTCAGAGGTTGGCAGGCAGCTTTGTAGCTTTTACCGAGAGCCAGTTCCATCACCAACTCACTTTTTTCTGGGCCCAACTAAATGGGAAGCTAACAGGGGTTGGGGTCCAGGGTAGTTTATGAACTGAGTTGTGTCTAGGAGTAGGGCAGCCACATTGGACCACTGGGATCCCTTAAGCTTGTGGGCCAGGCATCCCCAGGGGAAAGGGTCTGGATTAGGAGCTGGGATGCTTCACTGACCAGCCCTCGTGGGCTTGGGTGGGGTGGCATTGGCGTCATTCAGAAGGACGTGGCTCACAGTCCTGGCTGGTTTCTGACTTGGCCACATTGATATCCTGGAAGAGTCCAGCCCATGCCATGTGTCCGTCTGGTCCCATCTGCGCTGTGACTTTGTCTAATTCCTTCGTGTGCTTTCTTCTGAATCTGAAACAGTGTAGTTGTGCAATATTCGAATAGTGCAGAGACTTTAGAAAATGGGAGAGAGAAGACAGATTCATATGTCTAAGCAAATATATAGCAACTCTTTTGTTCAGCTTCCGCCTGAAGTTTTTATATGTGTTTTACTGCCTGGTTGCCATGTTTGCCTGGCTTGTAACATTTAGTTTCCTGTGTGCTTTTTCCAGTTAATATAGTACTTTATAGTACAGTTGGTTTAGCCAGGTGTAGTGGTGCACGCCTGTAATCCCAGCACTCAGGAGCCCGAGGCAAGAGGAACTGCTGGAAATTCAAGGCCACCCTGGGCTATGTCGTGAATTCAAAGCCAGCCTGAACTACATAGCGAAATTGTTTTTTTTTTTTTTTTTTTTTTTTGAGACAGAATCTTGCTGTGTAATTTAGGATGGCCTTTAACTTGCTAGGTAGACCAGGTTGGCTCTGAACTCAGCCATCTTCCTGGCTTAGCCTCTTGAATTAATACGTATTAATTCAGGGCCTTTGCACCAACCCCTATGTATTTATTTATTTTCTGTTTGGAACAGAAACTTGCTAAGTTGTCTAGCCTGGGTTTGAATTTGTGATCCTCCTGCCTCAGCTTCCCAGAATACACCCAGATTTCAAGCATGGACCACCATTCTTAGCCTTGTAATACTTGGAGGGTATATTATAGCATACCTCTTTATACTCTGCTTTTATGTTTGTTTGTTTGTTTTTTAGTCTTTTTGAGAAATAGGGTCCCACTATGCAGTTCAGGCTAGCCTTGAGTTCACTTTGTAGCCTAGGCTGGTTTTGAACTCACAATGGTCCTCCTGCCTCAGCCTCTTGAGTATTGGAATTACAGGCGTGAGCCAACCACACCCAGTTATACTCTGCTTTTGAATGAAATTTACTTTTTAATTTTTTCCTGCTAATAAATACTGCTGGGATGAGCATCTTTTTCCTGGGTCCTAGGCTATTTTCATGAGGACACTCTTGAGAAATAGATATTAGATGAAATGTAAGAACATTTTATGGCTCTTGAAATACTTTCACTTATTTTGTACTAGATATTCTAGAGCAAAACTGCTTCTTTGTGCCATTGGTAGTGTAAAAAAGGAAGGGAGGTGGAAACCTAGGCCTCCAGGAAGCTTGACATTTTTAGGCTTCAGCTCTGCAGACCTCCTTCATTCTCCAGGTCACAGTATTGGTCAGCATGAAATTCTGCAGATAGAGTCATGCATTTAACAATCCCACTCTGTGCTTTTGAAGCACATGGTATAATTCATAGCACATCTTCATCTGCAGTAGTATGTTTTATCCCTACAGTGCCCTCATCTGTAGGTGAAGAGAGAGGCAAAGAGGAGCTGAGAAGTTTCTCCAGTGTTACAGGCTAGAAAATCAGTATGGAGGCACAGAGCTGATGCCTCGTGCAGAGCATTTTTCACAGTTCCTAGAGCCTTAGAATCACACAGTGAGTGTCTGACAACTCCGGAGAATCTGAACTCTCCTTCTCTCTTCTCCATCCCTGATGGCTCAGGAGTCTCCAGGCCTAGGAGCTGCTTTGGCAGGAAGGGGTTAGACTTTGGGAAACCTGCCTGCTTGCTGAGACACACTGCTTATCTTCAGCGAATGTGTGCCTTGCAGGCTGAGGTGGGGTCTTCACTTCATCCAGGTCCAGATCTGAGACCTGGGCTTGCCCAAGTTCAGTTAGAGCTGGTGATGTGTCAGCCTTCATTTCGTGCAGTTTGGACAAGGAGAGAAATAGCTCCCATGAGACATTTCAGGGATGCAGCTGTGTCAATCCTTTACAGTGTACCCTGGCCTGGGAGAGTGTCTGAGATTTCTGCGTGGTGTCTTCTGAAGAATAAGACAGTTTTTCAACAGATACATCACTCTGGTTGAATATTGTTCTTTCAACGTGGTAGTCACTTGGAGGAAATCAGGGTAGGTCAGGTTTCTCAGCTTAGGAGCCAAACATGCCAGAAGTGGGCACTTTCCTGACCCCAGCGTAAGTAGTATTTCCTTGGGGAATTTTTACCTGTGCCCCTGCTTGGCTAGGGTTCCTCCCTCCTGATAAGTTTTCACAGTGCTCTATTCCTGTGATTACTGTAACTGTTGCTTCTCTCTGCTAAACCGTGCCCCACCTTGACATCTCCATGCCTGGCACACAGTAGGTACTCAAAAATCACTTGTTGAATGAGTGAGCCATCCAAAAGCGGATTGGTGGCTTTCGTCAGATCCTTGAAGGGTGTGTAAACCAAGAAAAAAAAAGTTTAGGAGAAGAGAACATGGGCTTTGGGATCCAGGAAACTTAGATATTGTTTCTGATTCTACCATTAACTATCTGAATGATGAGAATAATCCTATTTAACATTTGCATGTTAAAAAACCATTCGTGTGTTTTATACCTTTTCTAGGCTGAGTGCTGCATTTTCGGTCTACAAACTCATTTGCTCCTTATAACAACCCCTTGAAGTAAGACAGTTGTTATCCCCATTTCACAGGTGAAGAGACTAACACACAGGAAGGTGTCAGTAGCTGGGAACCACAGATACTGACAGTTAAATGTCAGAGAGCTCTAGGAGCTCCTGGAGAGCTCTAGGAACTGCCCTCCTGACCACAAGGTCTTTGTATCTCTGAGCTTGCACTTTAGGAGCTGCTACAGAAATCCCAGCGATTATCAAGACCTTGTCCTTAGAGGGTAGGTCTGGGCTCAAGAAACCAATTGTTAAGCCAAATGTAAATAGGCTTACAATTCTTGGATAAAACTTTGGATGTGAGTCTAATATCACAAAAGTATGGAAAAGGCCTAATCTGTGTTAAAAAGAAAATCAGTCTCTGTACTTTGCTCACCCCTCCTGCAGTTCTGAGCTGCCTGCTCAGGACAGAGTTTTCCCTAAACCTCACCTTCCTTTGCTAAGGCAAAATGGAAGAGATGTTATTTGAGAATTTCACTGTAGTCATGATTAAAAACAACAAACTAGACTAATGAGATGTACATGACAGTGGTTCCCAGAATGTGGCCCAGGAGTCCCTGGGGAAGTCATGAAACCTTTCAGGAGATCCACAAGGGTCACCACCATTTCCACCGTCACACTAGAGGATATGTTCCCTTTTCACTGTCACTGTCCCTTAAGTGTGTAGTGCAGTTTTTGAGACGTTTTGTGACTTGTCATCACATTGTGCTGGCTGTGAATGATGAAAATGGTGGTGGTGTGTGTGTACGTGTGTGCATATGTTTAACTGCTTTACTGACATGCTGTACAGTTCACCAATTAAAGTATATAGGTGAGTGGGTTTTATCCTTACAGATTTGTGCATCCATTACTACAGCCAATTTTGGGACATTTTAAAATCACTCTAAAATAAAAGCTGTCCATTAGCAAATACACAAAGCACCTCCCAGTCTTGCGGCTGTTCTCCCAGCCAAAGGCACCACTGTTTTGTGTCTCTATAAATGTACTCACTCTGCCCGTTGCATATGGATAGAATCACACAGTATGTAGTCCACTGAGTCTGACTGCTTCATGTAGAATCATGTTTTCAAGGTTCACCGATGTTATATTACTTCCTTTTTATGACCAGACAATCAGTGTTTTCAGTATGCCATTTGCTCGCTCATCAGCAGGTAGACATTTGGGTTATTTCTGCTTTTCTGGCTGTTATGAGTGATGGTGTTAGAAGCACTTTTCCAGCTTCTGTATGGAAATATATTTTATTTCTCTTGGGTATATAGCAGAATTGCTGCCTCTTTGTTAACTCTGTCTTACTTTGTTAAGGAATTCCCAGCAGCAGTGTGTGAGCGTTCCAGTTTCTCTATATCCTCTCAAGTATTTGCGGTTATGTCTTCATTCTAACCATCCTGTTGGATGTAAGATGGGATCTCATTGTGGTTTTGATTTACATTTCCCTGGTGGCTAACGATGAATCCCTTTTCTTATGTTTGTGAGTCATTGTGTATCTTCTCTGGAGAAATAGTTTTTCATATTCTTTGCCTATTTTTAATTGGGTTATTTATCTTTATGTATTCTAACTATAAACTCCTTGTCAGATAAGTAATCTTAAAAAGAATTTTCTATTCCATGGATTGTCATTTTCACTTTTTTGAAGGTGTCCTTTAAATTAAACGGGCAGGCTGGGGATTTAGCTCGGCGGCAAAAGAGCCTGCCTGGTGAGCACCAAGTGGTGAGTTCGATCCCCGGTGCCAAAAAATAAATAAGTAAATAAATAAATAAATAAATAAATAAACAAACAAAACAGGGTCCCCACCCTGCAGCAGAACTTCATCTGTATTTACAGCTCCTTCCCATGGACTGAATTATTACTTACGCTCCCTCTCCAGTCATGTCAGTGGCAGGGTTAGGTCTCGCTATATAGTTTAGGCTGGCTTTGAACTCACTATGTAGCCCAGGCTACCCTTGAACTCCTGGAAGTCCCCTCCTGCTTCAGCCTGCTGAGTCCTCACTTTGCCTGGTGATAGGGTTAGATTCTTAGAGGAGCTGAAGCCCTACTGTGAACTGCACATGTGAGGGATCAGGGTTGTATGCC